AAAATGCAAAATTCATTCTTAGGTCACTAGATATACAAAAAAGGTATTAAGTTGGATTTGGCCTTTGGGCCAGTTTGCTCACCCCAATGATAGTCTTACTTTTAAACTTCAGCACCAAGTATGGTATTGGACACATATTGAGGATTAAAAATAAGAAAGCTTGATGAATGTATAAGCAGGTGAGACATAAGTATACACCAGACTTTTATTTAACTCTTTAACTTATGACAAAAGTAATGTATTTGTAAAAAACCCTTAATTTGTTAAATCCTAGTATTGAAAGTTATTTTTTTATCTTATAAATATTAAACAGTTTAATGTTTTCTAAATTACCATAATATATTATCACCTTTTAAATAATATATAGATGTTCTTTTATGATGGTTCTTAATCTTTTAGTCTCTCCTAGAATTTATGTATTTATGAAAGCTCTAAAGAGATTTCACTTCAGTTTGCCTATATGTCTATATCTAAACTTTAACTTCTTAGAATTAAAGATTATTTTTGTAATAATACCTTTTTTGGGGCATACATCATTTTAAAGAGATAATGGGACATAAAGAGATAATCCTAATGTATAGAAATGAGTTCTTATGTTCTACTGAATTTTGTAATTACTAGCATTTCACTAGTGCCAATGAATTAGCCAGCCTTTATCAGATTAGAAAAAAATGTAATATATTCTTTAAAAATAAAGTTTTTCTTATGTAAACAAAACTCTAAAAACTTGAGGAATATAAGTTATTATGCTTTTATATGTAATATTTGATAGCACATTACATTTAGAAGCATGGAAAGGACAGCAGGTATACAACTATCAGATGAACCATATTTTATGACAGTGGGTCTAAAAATGTACACAACTTCATAACTTAGAAAAATCAATTTGATAGCCCTATTCCTATCAAATATATAAAGAAGAGAAACTTTACTAAACTAACTTTCCATTCTCCTTAATAGACCTAGGAAGAAATTTAAGTCAATTATGACTTTTCATTTTCTCTAGAGTTCATATCCATTGATAATAACTTTAGATGATTTTATTTCATTTATTCTATTTATCATTTTCCTCCTCCATTTTTTTCTAACAATACATACATCCCATAATTTTCCTTTGTATTCTGCAGATGCAACTAATTACTGACAATTATTGACTGTAAATTGTTAGTACCTTAAGGGAGAAGTTTTATATTATTTTACTTTTCTGAAATTAATATTTGTATTTTCTACCAATAACCTCAGACCCTATTTTAAGCTATATGCAATCCTAAATTGTATATAAGTACATGTATATAGAAACAGTTTCTTTTCTTTTGGGCAAAATTATCAAAGATGGACAAAGACAAATAACTATATAATTCAGATCCAGAATTATATTTCTAAATTCCAATCTGACATGCCAATATTGTATTTCAGATTTTATAAGAATTTCAACTACTTTAGTGTATAAAGGAAAAGGGAAATTAGTAGAATAATTTTTTTGCTAGTCCTATATTGCTTTTATTTTTATTTATGTTTTGAAGGCTTAACAATTATATATAGACTTTTGCCATAGATATTCATATCATATTGTATTTATATATATAAAATATGAAGTGAATCTACTAAAGATCAAATTATGCACAATCAGGTAAACTGCATATTTATGTATATTATAAACTCATTTAGGAAAAAACCCTAGTACAACTTTATCCATGTAGTTACTGTAAGAATATATGACTATAAGACCACCTCTATGGTTTTCAAGTAACGGAAAAACTTTAAGAATAAGAAGCTGCTCAATTTCTTCCTTTTTTTTTCTTTTTTTGAGTTGGAGTCTCACTCTGTCGCCCAGACTGGAATGCAGTGGCACACTCTTGGCCACCGCAGCCTCGCCCCACTGGCCTCCGGCGATCCTTCCGCCTCAGCCTTCCAAGTAGCCGTAACTACAGGTGTACACTACCATGCCTGGTTAATTTTTGATTTATTTTAGAGAAGAGGTCGCCAAGTTGGCCAGTCGGGTCTTGAACCCGCGGGCTCAGGCAATCCACTCGCCTCGAGCCTCCCAAAGTGCTGGGATTACAGGCTGAGCCACCGAGCCCTGCCTGCTCAATTTCTGACATAATGAAACATACAAGGCCATGAAGACACTTGTCAACTAATAATACCAAAAAAAGAAAATAATAAACAGATATTAGAATAGTAGAAATTCAAGGTCTCTGATTTATATGGAGATGAAAAAGATCAAATGTGAAGCTTACCCTATCAAAATTAATAAATAATTTAATGAGATTATAGATTCTGAGGATATACATTAAATCTAGTACAAGACTATCTGTTTATTTAGTAGTTAAATACAAAAAATAAAAATTACCAAATGTGTCTATTTGGAAGTTACACAGCAATAAATTTTTAAAAATTTAACTTATAAATTACCTTTGACATAAAATACCACGAATAGGTCTTGTTGAATGCTCAGTCACTTTGGTAAAAAGGTACTCTTATTTCCCTCATTTTATACACTAAAGCACAGTGATTAAATGACTAGTCTATCATGGCATAACACAAAAACATATTTGGTTTTTGTCTCTGGTTTAAGACACAAAGATAAAACCCTTGGAATTCCTGACAAACCTCTTTGGATCACACAGGAGCTTATGCTAATGAGGTGACGTGGAGTGGGGCCTCTGGATCGTCCCAGGATGGGGCTAGTCACAGGAAAGACTTAAGTGATTAAAGTGCTGAAATGCTCATTCCTACCTACCGAAGGGTGGGCTGGGGATTGAGCTCCATAAAAAGTCTTGAACAATGAGATAAAGAGCTTTCAGATTGATGAATATCAAGGTGATAGAAGGCTGTTATGTCTGGAAAGGGCATGGAAACTCCTTCCCCGATACCTTGCCCTATGCATCTCCAGCATCTCCAGCATTTGGCTGTTCCTAAGTTGCACCCTTTGTATTAAGGTGTTTCCCAAAGTTTTGTGAGTAAATTATTCTGAAAGTTGGTAGGAATTGTGGAACTCATTGACTTTGTAGTCAAGTAGGACAGAAGTGTGGGTAAGTGGGGACCTAATACTTGCTACACTGACATCTGAAATGAAGCCTATCTTGTGAAACTGAGCCCTTAAACCTGTGGAGGTTAGCCCTAACTCCAGGTAGGTAATGTCAGAATTTAATTGAAATGAAATTAAGTACATTTGGTGTCTAGAGAGATTGAGAATAGGTGTGAGGAAAACAAAAAAAAACCCCACATATTTGGCATGAGAAGTGTGAATAAAAACAGTCTATCTATGGCCACCTTGATGGTAAACAGCAGAGCCAGAATTTAAAGGTTTGAATTTTCAGCCTAACATTTTGTATTAACTAGAAGCTCCACAGAATACAAAATACTTTGTGATATGAATTATTTCTTCACAATTAAAAACAATGTTGTCATTTGGTTATGAATGATATTTCAGGTAAAATTGTTTCTACTTTTCTGATATTAAAAGATATGAAGATATCAAGCCATCATGGAAAAGGTAGGAATATGTAAATACAAAATCATTTACTTCAAACACTTAACACAGCAGCCAAACAAAAATCTATGGCTTCACATATGTAATCAATTTACTTACAAATAAAACAAACACAAACATACCTCTGCAGGAGATGGTTTCCTTCCCAATTGTGTTTTTTTAATCACTGCATAAAATATATAAAAATTGGCCAAAAGACCATTTCCTGATAGGAACCAGAAGCTATATATTGTGTAAGAATGACCTTCTTTTTTATGCAGCTGAAGTTAACAATCTCTCAAAATAATTCTATTTTAATTGCTTTATAAGCAAAACTATTTTACAATCCTAATTATAATAATGTCAAAAATGTATGCACCATGATTTTTATGTAGAATAATAAACAAAATTTTACTGCTTAAAATTACAAAATCACATTTTCATATACAGTAGTTATCAAAATTTGAAAGTATGGTCTATGGATCAGAAACATCAGCATTACTGGGGACCTTGTTAGAAATACACATTCTCAGGACCCACTGCAGGTTAACTGAATCAGAAACTCTAGAGATGCTAGGGATGTGGCCAAGGAATCATGTTTTAACAAGCCCTCTCTGTTTGATTCTGATATAGACTATAAAGCTTGAATAACACTGTACTAGAATAATAAGCACAGTCATTATTTAATAGACGCAAAACAGAAGTACCTTGCTGCTACTAAGGTAGTAGATACCATTGTGCACTGATCTGAAAATAGGATATAGTTAAGATTAAGTTGAAATCAAGCCAAGAAACACTTTTTGGGGGGATAAAGGAAACAATGTTACAAGTGGTAATGTCAATTTACATATGACTCTGAAGTGACACCTGAAGTTTCTGACTTTTTTGAAGAATATAAAGATGTTTTTCCCTCTGTATTATTGTATACTACTTACTCTGCATTCTTTCCCTAATTTTTCTTCTGTACAAAGGTTGGAGGTGATTCTTGTGGTATGAAGCCTAGATATTAATTCTGCTTTATGGTTTATTAAATTCTGCATTTAAATGCAGTTCACACTTAAAATTATGGAAAATATAACCCTTTTCCACCAATAGTACTGTAAAATTGGTATAAATATTCTATTGTACTTTGAGACAAATGACAAAAGTATTTCAAGAAAAGAGAAATCAGATACAATTGTGAATTGTATTGACAAAGCATCAGACAAAATGCTATACTAACAGTCAGAATTCTGCTATCATCTCTCTGGCAATGTGCCTGAAGTTCTATTGTCACCAAGAAAATGAAGGATTACTCTGGATCAGTCCAATCTTCCTCATACTATATCATTCCAGTTTAATCCAAATTAAAAAATTAAGAAACACTTTTAATAATTCTTCCATAGCAAAATATTCACATTCTTAGAAACACAAGTCACTTGTTCTATCAAAATTATAAAAATAACATTAAAATAGTAAAAAGCATTAAAAATAACATGATATGTGTAATCCTTGAAAATTAAAAAAAAGGCACGCACTATCTCACCTCTGGAGTGACATCTCGTGGTGCAAACCCTGTACCTCCAGTTGTTAATATCAAATTAAGTTCCTTTTCATCACACCAATCTATCAGGGTTTCCTGAAAGAAAACAATAGTATTGTCACATGCCTGCTTGCTCAAAACATCCAAATCCTCAAACACTTCATATATAGTGAGGAAACCCAGATTCTTTTCAAAAATCATTTAAGAAAATTTTGATGCACAATTCATAGAAAAATTTCACCCTCGATCAAAAAACACTGCAGTTTTAGGAATTCATTTTATTAATGATAGAAAATGAAAATGCAAGCACCAAATTCTTGAAAGTAAATGAAACACAGTAAAAACCCTAAGTAAAGAGTTTATAATTAATGTTCAATATGTACTTACATGGCTTATCTGAAGTTCTTTTCAGTCATTCACATGACTTATAGAGATTAGAATTATATACTACAAAATTTTGAAGCTGGTAGAGACCTTAGCAGATCTTAGCAGATGTTTACTTTCTAGATGAGACAACTGAAGTACAAAGTGGTTAAAGTTACTCAAAGTTACACAGCTAGTTTGTAAAGATGTGGAACTAGGATCTCCATCTGCTGACTTTCTATCTCTTGCTAATTCTATGACTCCATCCCACATTTTAGCTATTCACTAAAAATAGCAATTAAATGCTCAGTTTAAACTATAATCATATACTTGCTTTGGTAACCATTTTCAATTTAGAGTCAAAATTTAAAAATACAATTACATTATTTAAATGCTGATAACTAGATGTGAAATACACAATTATCAGGCTGATAACCAAATGTATAATACAATGTTCTCAAATTCATCAGTGACACAAAACACAGGATAATTATTTAGAAGGACAAACCCAAGATCTAAAAATAAATTTTTCCCAAAGCTTGCACATTTTTGTTTTATCCTGCTGTCACAGTGCTCCAAATGAAGGGGATTTTCCCCTATTATGAGTGGCAACTATTTAAAAAGTAGAAAAGTCTGAATACTCACCATTTTAAGTTGCTCATAATTATTTCTGGTACATTAAAAAAACAGTTAATACTGTAACTCAGCAATGAGCAGATTAACTCTCCCTGTTCTTCCACTAATGTGTCTCAGAACACTTTAGATCTCTTTGTAATATTCCTAAGTACTCCCATCACCTGGTGCCACAGTTTTCTCATCTCTGACCACACTCCATTTACATCAGATCTTGATAAAAAGTGATATGAAATCTAAGTTTTATCAACAGAAAATCTCAACACTAAAAATATATATCAAATACCAATTTTCAGTATTAATATCAAGAGGATATTTAAACTTAAGATGCTAATAGTCAAAATGATTCCTTTATACAGAAGAATACTATTGTTTTGCAATAAGCAGTAGTTTTTATAACATAACTCACCTGTTGATTAACATTTATGAAATGCCTTCCATATATTAAGTGTTAAGAATTAAAAAAAAATATATGAAACACTGATCCTGATTTTAAAGAGCTAATACAACCTTGGCTGCACACTAGAATTATCTGTGGAGCTTTAAAAATTACTTGGGTCTCACCTCTGAAGTGCAGAGTGGGCACTGAGATTTTGAAAAGCTTCACAGGTAATTCTAAAATGTATTCAGCAGTTGAGAGCTTCTAGTCTAAGGAGACAATTTGTTCAGTTACCCAAATGGTACACTTCATAGATAACTAGGTAGGCTCACGAAGATGACATACAGTTTAAAATCAGTTGCACCACAGTAACATTAAGTAACATTACTTAAGTTTTTCCATTTCAAGGATAGATAATTGGTAACACTTACTGTATAGATTTCTTTCACTTAAATAATATTTGCTATCTTGAGCCAAATTGAGGATGTGTTCAAGTATTGGGGAAGTAATAGTTTGTTGGCCAAAGTAGCTGTGCAATGCATAGCAGTTTTTCATTTCAACAAAAATTTTAGTTAAGCTCTTAGATTTTTAAGACAAAAAAGTGGCCGGGCTCGATGGCTCAGCCTGTAATCCCGGCACTTTGGGAGGCCGAGGTGAGTGAATGGTCTGAGCCTGTGGGTTCGAGACCAGCCTGGGCAATTTGGAGAGCCCTTGTCTTTACAATAAAATAAAAAATAGTTGGGCGTGGTAGCACATGTCTGTAGCTCCAGCTACTTGGAAGGCTGAGGCCGAAGGATCGCTGGGGCCCAGGTCAACCCTGGGGTGGCTGTGAGCATGCGTGCCACTGTACTCCAGCCTGGGCGAGGGACTGAGACTTCAATTCAATAAATAAATAAATCCTGAACACGTTTTGAAAAAAAGATGAAAAAAGCAAGTCTATCAATTCATTCACTTGGTTTCTAAAACATAAAAATTCTTCCTCATCCACCAATATAGAATACCAATGTTCCAGGCCCCTCATAGTCACATATTTGATTCAATAATTCATTTAATAATATTTCAAGTCATACTTTTATTCAGGCACTTCATTAGATAACAGGAATGCAAAGATAAATAATTCCTAATCTCAAGGATTCAGTGCAGTAGAGAAGCTCTGAGTCTACATTTATCTAGAATCTTGTTACTAAAGGAATGCTCTGAAAATCAGCAGCACTGACATCACCTGGGATTTGGTCAGAAATACAGAATCTGAAATCCCACTCAAGATCTACTGAGGCTGGGCTCGGTCGCTCAGCCTGTAATCCCAGCACTTTGGGAGGCCGAGGTGAGTGGATTCCCTGAGACCAGCCCGGGCAACGTGGCGTGACCTCATCTCTGCAATAAAATCAAAAAATTAGCTGGGTGTGGTAGCGCACCCCTGTAGTTCTGGCTTCTTGGAAGACTGAGGTGGAAGGATCGCCAGAGCCCAGCAGGTTGATGCTGGGGCGGCCATGAGTGTGCCACTGCACCCCGGCCTAGGTGACAGAGTGAGATTCCAACACACACACACACACACACACAAGATCTGCTGAATCAGAATCTGCCATTTTTAGAAAGAGTCCTAAGGTGATATAAACACATTAAATTGGACTAATATCACCATGTACCACTCTAGACATTGAATCTTAATATTTGTCATATTTAGTTCATCTTAGTAAACTCAGTAATTTATCTTAGCTTAGTTAGAATGCAACTTATTTTACCATATTTGTATCTGCACTTATAAGATCCTTTTTATTCTAAGATAAATCTTAATACTTGGCTGCGTCTGCCAAGCAAGATGTCATCGAGGAATTTTTGCATGAAACAACTTTATAAAAAATTTCTCTGCATCTGTTGAAAACTGAGCCTGAGGACATTATCTATTTTAGTTATTAATTTTCCCTTATGTGAAGGATATTTCTTTTAAAAAATGTATTGCCTTGAGTTTCTAGTATAGTATAGTAGAATAAAGGTGTATCACAGAATTCTCCCTCAGCATCTAACAAAACGAACAAATAGAGGAAAAACCTCCACCAGCAAAGAGCTGTGGAAGGGGGCTTAAAAAGACATCTACAATGTCAAAAATTAGGCTAAGCAAGTACTCAGCCTTTGCACAGTTAAAAAAAAGTTCCCTTCCTGGAAACTGGCAACAGCACCTGCTGGCTAGGTTAAATTGTTTAACAGCTTTTTTTTTTTTTTTTGCTTCTGTGAACCCCACTAGCATTGCTTGAAAAGTACCTAGGCCTTCAGGATATTGCGGTTTGGCCCACTTGGAAAGTCCCAATGTAGTTTTGCCCCATTTAAGCAAGCCCCTACAGCAAATGGGGGCCCTTGTTGGGACTTGCATGTCTAGTAACAAGTGGCCGCAGGCCGGCTCTTGGCTAATAAACCTCTCCTTTTTATAACTTGTACTTTTGGTGTTGGTGTCTGTGAATTAAGCGCTCAGTTCCTATTTCAGAGCAAGTAACAAAAAAGATACAGCTTCATGCCAAAAATCTCAGAAGAAACAAAAGACCTTTGAAAAGCACAAGACATCACTGTGAGGCTGCTAGCACTGTTCTGCAACCCAAAGAAGTCATAGTGGTGTATTCTCAAAACCCTAATTATTCTCACCAATACTTCCAAATCCAGAGAGATGCAAACTGAAAGAGACTCTTGATCTTTTTCGTCTTATAAGCAGCTGCTTATGAGGAACAAATGCAACAAGGGACTAATTGTATTCAAGATGAAGATTCTGGGAACAAATGCACATGAAATTGAAAAACCAGTCTGAAAGCTGATGACTCTTCCACATAATCATGAGCTAAAAAACCCTTATTTAGAAAGAATGATTCTAGTATTGGATATTTAATAAAATTTCAGAGGGAAGAGCAGAGTATTCCAACAAGATTGCACATTGTCTCTGGTTTCTTGCTTCCCTATCTTTGTCTGTGCAAGTTCCAGATCTGATACAGCATGGGTTGACTTTTTATCTTTCTTCCTATATCTCTGCAATCATTTTGAAATAAGTTCTAATTTGAGAACTGAATATGGTGCTATCAGCTTTTTTTCTGATAATCATATAATAAACAAAAATTTGAAGGTAAGGAAAAGGTAGGTAGAAAGACATATATATAATTAGTGCTAATATCCTTACCTTTCATAGCAGGGAATCAGCCAATCCTGTCAAAGATTTCAAAAGATAGAGTACCTGGTCCTAAAGCAGGGGAAGTGGAGACCAGTTGGAGGACCAAACTTCACCTGTGCACAGCCTACTTGCATAGCCAATCCCGACTTGTACCCCACATCTCATAAAATAAATAAAATAAAAATGATAAAGATATGACTGTAATCTATTAATGATTTTACTATTTTTTAAACTTTGGAAGAATCTTTAACACATAATATCTCATGTAATATAAAAATAGTTATTTCCAAGTCAATAGGCTTTTACTCAGTTATTTTTCTTCTGTTTAAATGTAAACAAAATGCTACTATATATTAGCTTTAGAGAATTATCCTAATTTTACATATAGCTACATCTTTCCCTCATTTAAACATCTATCTATTCTTCTATCTACATAATAGGCATAGAAGGATGTTGGAATGTTTTACAACTAATGTAAAGACTGGTTACTTCTGGGTAATTAGATCAGAAGTACATTTTTTAAAACTTCTTTTTCATTTTTTGCATTGTTTGATTTCTTTATAATTTGCCTGT